TCTGGCCTTTCGGATTCTCACTCGAATCCACCACCAGGGACAGCCAGGGATAAAGGTGATGGATTCATAAACCGCGCAGTATTTATGGCATGCAGTTTTTCTACAAAAAAGTCATAATCAACAGTTCGAACATCACCTATGGTAGCACGTGGTACCCTGCTTGCTTGCTAGACGATCAAATCAGACCCACCTGCTCGTCTGCCATAAAGTTGCTGTGGCAGGATACCACGGGCTCCTCTCTACCGACGAATCCTTAACGCACATAAACGCCGTCTAATTTCCTTCGGCTCAGTTCTTCGACCAAGGTGGTTATCGAGATGAAGCTAATGCACCGCACGACAGTTCGACCGTTGATTCCGTTTAGGTCCACCTTGTGCTCCTGTTTTAACCTAGTGTGTTCCTGTGTCAACACCGGTTATCGCCCCCAGTTACTTGTTAGGAAGAGAAGGCAGAACAGGATAACAGATTGTACTAGTACATCAGCTCTGTTTCCTGTGTATCCAGCAGCTCATCCTCTGTGGTCGGTCTTGTCTCGGCAGCAGTCTCTCGTCTAGGGCAACATAGTCTCGGGTCGTGAGCAGCGTCTCCAACGACAGAGTCCCGTTCTGCTCGCAGCCTCGCTATTTAAGGAGCAGTAGTCATTGCTCCCCATTGGCTCTCCACGAGTGGTCGTGCGCGCGCTCGCTTACACGCGTCGGTGCATCTGTCCTCAACGCGGTCTCACTGATAGCAGCAACTCCACAACCTATTTGTGCAAGGACGGTGACTTACGTGCGGATTAGCTCTAAGCCATAGAAGACTTGCTTTGCATCAACCACATTCTCCCTTTCCTCACATACCTGCGCCCGGTGTCATGACCAAGTTAAGAAAACCGGAGGCGGAATCAAGTACAGGACCCGCCACCATACCTGACTCAGACTCAGTGGGAGTGCCATAAAGACCATAAATGGCTGGCGACTGAGTCTTCACCTACGCGTGCCACCAACTTTACTATTGCCCCCTCCCCCAGGTTTGCCAGTTTTATTAGAGCACAATCCGAATAACGCCTGCCGCATCTTGATCTGGCCCTCATTGTGGTCCAGCGCATCTACCACGCGGCGCGTTTATGAGACACGCTGTGCCGCACACAGTCCTATTTAGCCACAAATGAGATCTGGTGTCAGATCGGTCAGAGTATGTTGACCACCTTGTACTGCAAAAACACTTGGCATATTTAGTAATCTAGAAAAACGAACACACTTCCCTGGCCACCTCGCATCAGTTTGTTGTCCCTCTGTTGCAATCGGAATGGTACCGACTCAACACTATCCATTTCTGCCTGTCACGCTTCTCTCTAGAGTTTCCTTTATCTCCCCATTCTTCCTCGTCCCTCCCCCTCTGTGATCTAGTTTGGCCAAGGCCAGACAAGGTGCCCGACGCATTGCCCGTCGAATATCCAAGGTGGGCTTCCCCTGCCGGTTCAGCAACTACCGCATTGTCAACATCATGGCTACCTGTCGCTTACCTTTTCGAGTGCGGCTGGACCAACTGGTTAGGGAACGTCCAAAGATCATGAGGTCAGTCAACCCCCTATCCTCTTGTTGGCAAGGCCTCAAAAACTGGCCTTTCGCCCGTCCAACCCACTTGCAGTTTGCGCACCTTTTTCCTTCCGACGTGTGTCGGACAGTGACCTTGGTTTAGACCGAAACGGTCTTCTCCATTCCCCAGGCAAAACTTTGACCTGTTTTCGACATTGTTGGTAGCCGTTCGCTGATACTTCACTAAGGACTTCTCAAGAGTTACCACACCGCTGTTTTGCTTACCTGATCTAGTGGGAATTTCAGTTTCTCTTACTAGAAGCCTCGGCTCGTTGCCGTGTTGACTTAATCAGCTTATTTAAGCCGTATTTCGGTAGGTTTAGTGCCTTTTTAAGGGCTGTGGTGTTGGATTACTGTACTGTAAAGCCGACTGAGGTAGTTTGGGCCCGTGCTGCATCGTCCGCATCATGAGCTCAGTTATAATGCTCTCGATTCGGTGGAACTGCCCGCTTGAAGGCGGCGTCGAAGAGAATCTTAACCCTAGACTTGGCTCAACACAGTTCGTTAGGACATGGAAGCGTTTTTTTGACCTTCGGTATTTCGTCTGCGTCTTTGCCGAAGAGAATCGGTTTAGCTATCTAGATCTGATGCCACAAATCGTCACGCGTGGGCAGGTACCCTCTGTGACATCACGAGGCCGGCTAGTTCAGGCATGACCACAGGCGTTCCAGT